CCCCCCCCCCCCCCCAACTACCCTCCCTCTCTATAAATAGACATACACCCGTAGACAGATTTCTATTTCTTCCCCTGTTTATTTAGGCGAGGGTGGATTTCTGCTTCGCTCCAATTTCTTCTATCCAAACAAGGCACATCTTTTCACCTGGTATGTTTTCAAACCACCCTTCATCATTTCATCCCTCAATAGTCCTAAATAAATTGAACTTTCATGTTCTACTCTGGATGCTCTCTCCCTATTCATCAAGTTTGATTTTTTAAGTCAAACTTTGCAAAAAAATATATTGTAATATTCAAATATATATCCAACTAGACGAATACACTGATTATTTTTTTCATTGATTGGTTGGGGATGACTAGATTGAATGCAGGGTTGAAGATGGGCAAGTTGATCAGATTGTCCCTTGTGCTGATTCTTTACATTTTATTGAGCTTCAACTACACTTCTTTACAAGCCTTCAAACTTGGACCAGGTCACACTCTTTTAATTGCCCATAGTTTTTATCATCTTATTTATTTTATTTATTTTTTTGGTACAGTTCTTAATCGTACAAAGAAAAATAATCCTACAAAAACAATATGTTGCAGACAGGCAGTTGATTGAAGTGAGCAATTCATCAGAAGAATCAGATGACACAGTGAGAGTTGACCCTTTGGATAGGTTGAACAAATACAGAGGAGGCTATGACATTAGGAACTTGCACTATTGGAGTGTGAGTTTATTCCATTTTAACTACCAAAACTCAGTTATATGTCTAAGGATTTGTAGTGTTATATCTTATGCATCTCAGATCTATCTAAGCATGAAAGAGACCTTCTCACATTAGCAAATTAATAAAAATATAAAGTAAATGATTGTTTTGTTTAACATTATGTGTGAATGCCCATCATCTGCTTTTTGGAAATTTCAAGTGGGTGCCCCCACCCATAAGACCAACAATCTCCCCCAGCGACAATTTAAAGTCCATGGATTCTTAAGTGTACTTAGGAATTTTCTTTTAATAGGGGTGTGAAATGATTTAACTGTTAATATGTCTTCACAAGATGACAGCTTGTTTGGGCTTAGTGAATTCTGATACCATCTTAAGACTCAAGTTTCATGTTTCATCCTAGAGGTTCATAGTCTGATAGGAATTCTTTTAGTCTCAGTTTTCATGTATTGAATATATGAATTGAAGTGTAACATTTTGTGCAGTCGACTGTGTTTACAGGTATATACGGCTATGCAATCGGAGTCGCGTGGCTCTTGTGTGGCTTCTTCTACGGAATCTTTCTTCTCGTGAGGATATTTTGTTCCAAAAGAAGATGCACAAGGAAGACAATCTCCTGTCAAAAGCAGTGTTATCTCTGGCTTTTTACCTCTGCAATCTTCTTCACAATTCTAGCAGTGTATGTCTCCAAAAACCCTTTTCTCCTAAGCTCATTTTCTATCTTATGGTTACTTACTTGAAATGATAATAATATCAGGATAGCATCGGGTGTAGTCTTGGGAGGGAACGCAAGGTTCCATTCGCGAACAGATAAGGTTGTGGACATTATAATTGACACAGCAGATGGAGCCTCAGACACCATATACAACACCACTAAGGCAATGAAAGAAATGAGTGTAACTATAGGAGGAGGAGGAGCTGAGTCTACACGCTTCCTAACTTCCACATCCACCACCCTCGATGCCCGGGCTGCAGATATCCAAAGGCAAGCTAGAAAACACCGAAAGGACATAGAGAAGGGACTCCGGATTGTATACATAGTCAGCACTGTCATCGTTTCCCTTAATTTGGTTGCCCTCATTGCTCTGTCAGGTGGGTAGGTAGCGTTAACCAGTAATACCCTACCTTATTAACCCATAATTTTTTCTCTAATTTTCTAACGTGGGATATTTTAACAACTCCATTGCAGTATCGGGACTCCTGAGATTCAAGAGGACTCTTTACTCGTAAGTTCATGATCACCATTAAACCTTGCATATAAAACTTCACATATGGAATGAAATTTCTGAATCATTACGATGATGTCTTGGCAGGCTAATTGTTCTTTGTTGGATACTCACAGTCCTCTGCTGGTTCCTTTTTGGTATATACTTCTTCATAAACAAGTATGTGCCCACCCTTCAAAACCCCTTTTATCCCAAATCTTGATATTACCAGCATTATAAACAGCTAAAAAAACATTGTTACCTGCAGATTTGCTGGGGACACATGCAGAGCATTTGAAAGCTTCCAACAAGACCCGTACAACAGCAGTCTGAGTTTGATTCTCCCTTGTGATGAATTGGTTTCTGCAAAATCAGTCATGGGTGTAGTGAGTGGTGGGATTTATAGGATTGTGAGCCAGGTGAATAAAAGAATATCAAAATCCTATGGAAATTTTGCCCAAATCTGCCAGCCATTCTCGCGTCCACCAGAGTATGCATACCAGGCAGATAACTGCCCGCCTAAAACAATTCCCATAGGAGACATCCCACAGGTATATATATGC